TGTTGACAAAGTTATCTGCCTAGATTCTTAATCAAACGCAGTTTTTATTTTGTTACAAACTTTTGCGCTAGCAATGTTTCTTTTCGTGTATCCATGGCTATGCCAGAATAAACTGAACTGAACTGAAATATTTGTCATTTTTATTTACATTGATTTGAGAGAACTAGTTTCTACGATCAAGCAAACAATTCTTTTTTGATTCTCTACTTACACTCATATAATCTTACATGATGGTTTGGGGGAATGAAACCAAAGTAAATAGAAACGAGAAATATTTGCTCGAAAAAAACACTTGTAGAGTTCTATACGTGTGTTTTGCAAGGTAAAACGCCCAAGCGTAAAAAGTGCTTGGGTAAGAAACTCATGCGCATGGAGGCTAATCTTTAGATATGATATATTCATGTGCCTGAGAAAAAGCTTCACTAAGACAGTATTGATTAACGTAACTAATGTATTTTGGAAGATGAAAAAGGGATACTCAGCAGCTTGAAATGTTTTATTATCTATAAGAATCAGATCCTATCAACGTCGCTTCCATTGAGTCATTGATAACACGCGTGTTTGACTTACCTTTAATTTATATTTGATCTTCTTTTAAAATTATAAAATACAGTTTAGTGTATTCATTCGCAGTACGATAATTTCATTCTGCGCTCCTTCTCTCATCAACCGTCATCAACTGAAGAGAAGCAGATTATCAACTATCATCAGCAATTATTGCACATTATTATCATTATCATAAAAGACATAAAGAGAATGTTAATATTTCATCGTTATTGTACATTAGTTTTTCTGTAAAATATTTTATCGTAATAATAATTGTTGTTGGTGTGAAAAACCGAACTGAAGGTTATTTTTGTTATATCAAATTATAGAGGGCTAACGAGCTAATACCCCCACCCCCCTTCAAAATACAAGACCAGTAATCTTCTATTGTGTTCCGTCCAAAAAAATCGAAAAACCGTAAAAAATGCCCTATATAGGGTAATTTTCCAAAAAATTTCGCGAAAGTGATCTCCTAATAGGAGGATGGTTTTTTATTATGGAGGGGGGTTACTCATTTTTTCAGCATCCACAAACATCACTAGGTCCACTCTTGCGGCTGGCTTAACAACTACGACAAGTACGAGTATTGCTACAATACGCTTTTTGTAAGACTGATTATTGATACTAATTTTCTTTAGCTGCTGCTGGGGTGTCTACTGCAGCTTCTCCTGAATCAGGTATGTTGATGAAAACAAAACTTTGTTACGCTTTATGAGAAGAAGGATAAAGTATAAGTATAAGAATCGCTTCGTTGTATATTTTCATGCAAAAAAATCGTTTGAAATTAGTGCAAGAAAGAAGTAGTTAATAGACGCTTCGCCATATCACTATAATCTGTCCAGAGATAAAATTTCTGTTTTTTCTTATTTCTGTGCTATTCGAAAGAGCATTCGCAAAGACCACTGACTCTGCAATAGCTCTTTCCATCACTGTGAAGGATTTCTTTGGTTTAACGTTGCTTGCATACTCAGCTTTTCACACTGAATACGAAAAAACAACTTTCGAAGCCTGAAAGGAAGAATAAAGTGGACAATTGTGCATATTTCGAAAATTATGCGTTTTCCGAAAAATCGATCCTCCAAGCTTTTCATACTTTTCGACTTGTAAATATCATTTCCGAAATCGAAAGACGAGTTTTACTTACTCAGCTTGATGCACCCTATCAAACAATCTATTTATATCGGAGGTGAGCAAGTACCATCTTTTAGTACTCGGTACTCGTACTCGGACCTGAAATACTCGTACCCAACTCGTATTCAATGGTCAAATACTCATACTCGACTCGTACCCGAGAAAATCTATACTCACCTACCTCTGATTTATATATAATAAAAAATACATAAATATACATTAACTTTCCGGTCATGCCAGTCAATTCATCTTCAGATATATTGCATAGTTTATGTATAATTTACTAAAAGTCAAATTAGACTAACATACATTGACTAACATGATTTATCCCTTTCTTGTATATAGTGTGAATACTATTCTTTTCTGCTTGCATCATGTTTCAATTGCATCATGTTTCATTGTAAACCTTGTTAGTGTTTGACTTGGTCGCTCGATTCAAAAACAAATACTGATAGACGTTTGCACCGTAAACACTTTAGGCTATCTTTCCGCAGGCTTATCTGGAAACCGATTTTTTTCCTAAAAATCCTCATTTCTGAGGGGGGGAGGGCTTAACCTTTACGACCGACTGTTCTTCTCAGAGAAAATTAAGGTAATTGATTTAAAAGGTGGTGACAAAAACTTATATCCAAAATCAAATAGTTCTTCAGACTAGCACAGTCTGATAGAGAAAATTCGTCTGAAAAACTAATTATTTTTCAATATAAGATTTTTCTACAATGTTTAAAATCAATCATCAAAATGTCCTCGGGAAGCGACATTCGGTCGTAAAGGGTTAACCCTTTATGGCCCGAATTTGTTTTTGTGTAAAAAATTATTCATAATTTTTTAGATATTCAATATAAACGCCAGAAGCAAAAAAACAGAAATTATATGATCCTTTCAGGAGAGGGACTTTAAAGTCCCGCCAGGCCAACTGGCTGAAAAATAACAGAAAGCAAATGCTGTTACATGAATGTACACAACACTGGCTCTTTCTTTTTTTTTATTGGGATATACAAAACATTAAAGAAAGGGAAAATATAACAACACGTCAATGAGTGTGTTAGGCTTGTAGGAAAAACATTCCTGTTCCTAGAGTCGACCATTTCGTCCTTATATTATATTCACAAAATGACAAATTCAAATAAGAAAATATACCACGATAAAGACTTCACAAGATGCTATATGTACAACTTCGGATCGTAAAACAAAAAACACAGCTATATACGAACAGAGAGAAGAGAAGAGAATAATGACAAGAAAGAATGAAGCGGAAGATGATGAAATAGATCATATTATGTCTATACGACTATAAATGCAGCGAGTTGGTCACAGAACAATCCACATTAATACAGTCACGGCTGGTTTGAAAATCAACTAAATAAAAAATTTCATTTGTTATCACAGGAGCTACAAAATTCTTTTCACATTCTCTCGGTTTGTATCAAAACTTCAAAAAATCAACTTTAGTTGATTTTCAAAGACTCCGAAATTATAAAGGAGTTTCTGTTGCAGTCTCTTTTCTTAAGGGAAACGTGGAAGTGAATAACATTTTGTGCTGACAAAAGTAAAAAGCTTCTTACTTTCTTTTTGATTCTTACTTTCTTTTTCATGGAGAACAGACGTATAGTTTAGTCTTTCCTCCTATATCACAGCTATAATTAAAGTATGCAAAAAAATAATCAACGTTTACCACGTTCTCCTGGAAATACTTGTACCAAAAAATCAAAATCCGTTGATAATATGTTGGGTCAGGAAACAACGGCTGACAACATCAATAGTGGTAATTTATCTCAAATTATTAAAGAACAGTTTTCGTCATCGCAGTTTATTGAACAAGTGGCAAAATCTATTGTTAGTTCTGATATATTCATCAATTCTATTGAAAATGTAGTTAAAGAAGCCACGAGACAACAGCAAGAACAAATTGGTCATTACTAAAATTATATAAAAAAGGAGTTCGAGGTCGTGCATTACTGTGGATCAAAGATTATTTAAAAGATAGAACTATTCAAACTGTATTAGACGGTTGTATCTCCTCTATTAAATAAAGATTTAGTCAAGATTCAGAAGTGGTCAGATAAATGATTTTTGCCGTTAAATCTATTGAAATGTGAATCTATAACATTTTCAACGAGACGAAATCGGAAAAAATTTTCTTCTCTTCCACCACTTCTTCTGTATAATTCTCCAATAGAAGAAAAGAAAGAAGTAAGATATTTAGGTTTAATGTTTACTTATGATTTAACATGGACTACTCATATAAATAAAGTTTATTTTAAAACATCTTCGATAGTAG